CGTTATGATTGCATCATCCATGACTTCTAGGAATAACATGATGCAATTCATATCATGTATGACGCAATACCAGCTTCAGATTGCATCACTCATTGTTTTGCCTGAAAAGCAAGTACTGTCCAAACCCAGTCAGATTTATTCATAGATCCAGTCCAAGATGTGTTTTAGTCATTTCTGGTTTAAATTGAGATCCCTTCCCTTTATAATTCACTTATCCTCCACCATTCCCAAGTCAAGGGTGGTATATACTGACCCAATAGCATATCTTGAAAACTAGAGCCAATCAACAATTTTAAGCATCATTTTCATTCTCAGTGACCCAGAATTAGTAAAGTTTGACTACATTTATTTCAGAAGCATTTTCGCTGTAGAGCAGTGTTACAGTACTCATGGAAGGTATTGGATTGACAACTCAGAAGAATGGATCTAATGAATAGTTTACATGGATCTCTGATTTATCAACAGTTTTGTTTAGATGTGGGCCTGAACAAAATCCCAGAGGTGACCTTTACCCCAACTCCTAAAGTAGAAGTTTTAAAATGGGATAAAAATCCAGGTTCTAAAGTGAGTTTTGTTGCTCAGGCCAATATCTGCTGATAAAGAGCTGGATCCCGCCATATTAAAGTTAGTGGAAGTTTTTCTATGAGTTTGAATGGCAGCAAAATCAAGCTGGTAGAAGCAGAGGCTAACAGTTAATAAAGATGCAGAGCTGCTGTCCAATTAATTGGTTTTGTAATGGAATCATGTCAATAATGTAACATGCACTAACTAGACAGAATATATTTAGATTGCAGAATATGAAAAATAAGATACTAGATAATGACTGTAGTTAACACAGATTAACATCACAGGACGTTCCTATTCGGAGAAAAGCATCAATAGCCACATCATGGGAAAGCCTGTTGTGGGTGTGGGGGGTCCTTTTCATACCACCTTCCAAAGAGTGTCACTGACAGGACTGCTTTAGAAGTGCCATTCTGGTTTATCAGACGTCCATCACTTAATACCTAGTTTGAGAGAAGAAAGATAAATAGTACTATTAACCGAGCAGTGTGTGGGCAACATTAATATGTTCAAGTATTTCAGTTTAGCTTGGAAAAAGGCATGCAATGTACAACCCAATCTCTGATTCAAGCCAATTACCAAGAGCAGAAGGCCTCTGAACATACCCAAGTTGTCACAGTTGGACAATTTTTATGTTTAGCACTGGCCTTTGTCATCTTAGAATAGGATCCTTCGAAATGCAAGTCTGAAACAGCTCAAGGGCATCTCTTACCTGAAATTCACCAGGCGCCAGTTGAACCCCAGTGAGCAAGACTTCTACGGCCGCAATGTTCTGAAGATTCAGAGCAGGCGCAGCAGGGACAGAAGGATTGTGAGGAGGTT